GGTGCGAGAGGCATGGACAAGGAGCGGCTCCTGACGAACTTTTGGGTAGGGGGTACATGGATGAATCGAACGCACCGGAATGAGAGGGATCCGATGATTGTTTAGGTAAGGGACTACAAAGTCAAAGTTAACTTAAAGGAATTGATTGAGCTACTCATAGCAAAAAGATGCATCTACCTTTTCGGTTGCCCATTTTGAGAGAACTCCAAAGTTAAACGTGCTCGCTCTGGAGTAGTCTTAGGATGGGTGACCTCCTGGGAAGTACTTTTCGGGATGTGTACGAGTGAGGATAAAACACGCTAAAAGGTCTCGTATTGGTGTGTGGGGAATGTCTTGACATTCCGTAGCAGCCTCGGGTCGTTACAAATGGTATCAGAGCCGGTACTCTTCTAGTACGATGTGGTTCGAGGACGAACTAGACGGAAGCTGGTGGGCCTGTGACAGCTCAGGATACCGTAGAAGGGCAGGGAGTGATCGCCAGTGCGAGAGGCATGAACAAGGAGCGACTCCTGACGAGCTTTTGGGTAAGGGGTACAGGGATGAATCGAACGCACCAGAATGAGAGGGATCCGAGGGCTGTGTAGGTATGAGACTACACAGTCAAAGATAACTTAAAGGAATTGATTGAGCTACTCATAGCAACAAGATGTATCTACCTTTTCGGTTGTCCATCTCGAAAGAACTCCAAAGTTAAGCATGCTCGCTCTGGAGTAGTCTTTGTGACCTCCTGGGAAGTACTTTCCGGGATGTGTGCGAGTGAGGACAAAACATGCTAAAAGGTCTCGTGTTGATGTGTGGGGAAAGCTTTGATATTTCGTAGCGGTCTCGGATCGTTACAGTGTAGGTCTGATTAGACGTAATCAGATCACGTTTAGCCTTGAGTTAGGTCTAGTTAGACGTAATCAGGTCTTAAGGTAGGCTGTCTTTCGAGTCTAATAGGTCGGTTAGGTAAAATTATGCCTAGAGTAAGTCCAATTAGGTTTGTGCTGAGAGTCTAAGAGGTCGATTAGGTAGAAATATACCTTGTGTTAAGTTCAATCAGGTCTGATCTAAAGTCTATTAGATCTGTTTAGGTAAGATGTACCTAGGTTGGAGTCCGGATTAGGTTTGGTTTAAGTCTGTTAGATCAGTTTAGGTTATGTACCTAGGTTAAGTCCGATCAGGTCTTATCCTTTGAGTCTATTAGGTCTGAGTTGTTGGTTGTAATGCTCTACGATGATCCGTGATATGACATTTTGACTATGTATTGATTCATTGGTTTATGAATGCATTACTTTTCCCGTTATATGATTAGCATGTTTGTTATATTACGGTAAATATCCTTGAATCATTGCAGATGATTCTAAACTCCCTGGTCAGTTATCATTGTGGGAACAATGATGAATTAAGACCAGCATGATGTGTGATAGATGATTATGATCATATGCATTAGATGCAAATCACAATCATGGGTTCTCGTTTGGAACGAGTTACTGGATGACCCGCATGAGATTGTCACATGGACATGAGTCATGACTTGAATCTCATACAGCGGTTCATTCTTGGATCCTCACACCTGAGATGTCTAGAGTATCTGATATGAGGAGTGACGTGTCTTGACTGCGTCAAACGTCGTCTTTAACCGGATGATCATAACGGCGTTGCTCAGATACGTTCACGAATCATATGCAGATAGTAGACATGCAATACGGGACTTGTCACCTCCTACGCAGGAGAGATGTCGCTGGGCCCCTCGTGGAAATCGGACTGTGAAAATGCGTGGCCACGCTATAGGTCATGGCGTCTTGTTAGAGGCTAACCATGACTTGTGGTTCGGGAAATGTTTCCGAAGCCACTGCCACTTCGAGTGGGCCTACAGGGTCACACACCATTAGGGATGGATCACACGTGAAGAGAACAACGCGAGAAAAGAGCGACGGAGCGATCTGGAAGAGTTCCAGATGGCCAGCCAATTCGGACCGTCCGTTCCAGTAGAAATGGACTGTCCGTTCTGCAAAGGGCCAGACCGTCCGGTCCAGGTGTGGACCGAACGGTCCAGGCATCAAGACCGTCCGTTCTGCGAGGGAAAGCGGAACGTCCGTTCCACGTGGAAAGCCAGACCGTCCGGTCCAAGACCTAGACCGGACGGTCCGACTTTCGGGCAGATTTCCTATTTCGCGTTTTAAGGGTTTTGGGCAATTCTAATTAATGAGTGAGCCGCCACAAACCCTAGAGAACGAACCTCAGACATCCAAGACACTCATGAGAGCTTAGAGAAGTTTGATTTTGAGTTCTATTGATTGGAATATCGATTCCAAGTCAAGGACATCGTTTTCTCTTCACAAATCCTAGCAGATACGTTCCAAAGTGTTGGAATTCATCCCGCCGGTGTGGATACGTGTAGAGGAGTTGTGCTTTCAACTCTCGGTGATTAAAACAGGCCCTGGATCGATTGATACTTCCAGATCTTGAAAGAACGAGGTAAGTATTCGAATCCCACGACGATATACACGATTGTTCGGGTTATTACACAATTGGTTTTGTGTGACGTTTGGCTAGGTTTAGATCTTTCCTTCCGCTGCGTGAAACCTAGAATCCAAACCCTAGATCGATGAGATCGCATGCTAGGAACCCGAAGGGAACCCAACATGAGTAGGTAGAGACATACCTAGGTTTAGGACCGATAGACTAAGGTTAGAGTACGTTAAGTACGGCTAGGTAGAAATATGCCTAGGGATAAGTCTTATAGGTTGAGATCATAGGTCATTAGGTCTGTCTAGGTAGAAAGATATCTAGGGTTAAGTCCTTTAGTTTTCGATTTCATCCCTTAGGTCATGATTTAGTCACTTCTAGGATCGGTTAAGTCACTTCCGATAGAGTCAGTTTTAGACTCGGGTTATATCATTTTAAGATGATGTTGTTAGATTTTCTAACTCGGTATACCCCGAAACGGGGTATGGTGGAAGGACTAGGGGTTTAGCGCAAACCCGAAAAATCGGTTCGTAGGAGAAGGCCAAGGGCCAGGTGGAGTGATTAGTTCCGCGGGTAGGTAGGGACACTACACAGAGGAGTTGTAGGTCCCAGATGACGATGAAGGAAAAGTCCGAGGTAGAAGGACGTATTAACCTCGGAGGAGTAAACAGAAGATTCTTTGGTTCTCGGTAGTAGGTCATGAGATGAGGTCTCCACATTTAGGTGGAGCTTCCTGGGGTAGGTTGCTCAGGAGATGATGTGAGTTGGGAGGTGTCGGGTTTTCACGGTGTAGAGTTCATGAAGGTTGGAGCGCTAGAAACTCCCTCTCGGGGTGGAGCACGTGCACTCGTGTGTCTCTCATTCTCGGTGGAGTATTTCTAGATGACTAGGAGCATTTTCATGGGATAAAACCGTGGAGACAATTTTAGTTGACAAGTTAGGGTTTGGGGGTAGAAGTCACATACTCATAGGTAGTGTAGACTCTACGGGGATCCAGGACTAGGTTGTCTAGCAGGTTCGGTAGTATGACTCAAGATAGTCTCAGAGAAGTAGGGTTAGACTCGGGAGACAGATAGAGTCATACCACCAGGGGTATAATCCTCGGGTTGCTAGCAGATAAAGTCTTGGACGTTATCGGGAGGGTTAGTTAGATGGTCTAGGGAGTCATACCACCAGGGGTAACATTCGCCAGTCGGGCGACGTATGTTAGGACTTTGGTTTTTGCGAGATCTATCGGTGTGAACGTTTTGATCCTTTACCGAGTGTTTCAGGGATAGATGAGCTGGATCAATGATGGAATAAGGAAGATCTGAAGCCTTGTGAAGTCACCGACGGCGAGCTTCATCAGATTCAAGGCGACAGAGGTTTAAATCTCGATACAAAAGATGTCGAATCAGGTAAGCTTATGAACTTAATTTCTGGTGAAAGTCGATGGATCGATGAAAGTCGATCGGTGCTGGAAACGACGAATTTCCACTAGTGTTTATTTTTGTTTATTACTCTTGTTCCTTTCTCCACCAAGGTGGAGATTGTTGGGCTCCTTGGCCCAGCGACCCATTTGGCAGAGAAAAGGAATGACCCATTGTCTAAAAACGATGCATTTTGTAAAGAGTTAATGAACCCTAATGTCGTTAGCGGAGATACACGCTCGTGACTCGAGGCAAGTGATCAGGAGGGAGACCGGAGAAGAGAAGAAGAAGGTGACGATGACAGAGGAGCTTCTCGGAGACGGTGAAGCTCAGGATCGGCGGCGACTCAAGGTAAGTACCTCGAGGTCGGTAAGGCATCGTGTTCCTCGTTCTCCTCGGTTGTTTTTCGGACTAGTACGTCGGTGAGTCTTCGGACTTGTGAAGTACCGCCGACCATGTTGTATCCGGTGGTTATTTTCTCGGTTCTCTAGTGGATTTTTCGGCACCGTCCGACCGAGATATAGTACCGAGCAACGTTCGGTAACCGAACTCGTTAAAATCTCGCTGTCTTCTTTCCTTCTTGCACGAACGGGCGTCGGAGAGCAACGTGAGGACTCGATACCACGTTCACAGGGACTCAATAATTTTTTTTATATTTTTTAATTTCCTATATCAAAACATTAAAATTATGTTTGCCCCTTATTATAGTTTTTTCTAGATACCATAAATTATAGCCTAATTTGTCTATATAATTGAAAACATTTTTAGAAATTGTCCAATCCATGTAACCCATTAAATCAAATAAATGTCTAACTCTATCCATTTAACCCAATTATTAATTGGACCGACCCTTGGAGTTTATCACTCGACCCTGTGGGTTCCGATATCGGTTAATTTAATTACGTGGTCTGATTTAGGATATCGGACGTTTAGGGAGAATTATTAGCAAATAAAATAATTCAGGGGCTAATCATAAAGCCCTTTTCCCTAAATCTTTTCGCACACCGATGGGACTTTCGAATTGACGGTTTAGCCCCCTGCATTTGAGCAAAAACGTAATCATTCAAGGGTAGTTTAGTAAATCCGTATGAAATCCAGAATCTAAGTGGGACTCGTCTGCAGAAGTATATGGAAGGGGCTCGAGAAAAAAGAGAGAAAAAAAGGAGCCCCGGGAAAAAGAAAATAGGGAATTAGGAAGGACGTCCTCTCTCTCCGGCAATCGATTTCGCTGCGAAGTTTCTTCTATTGAGGTACTCCAAAATCTTCAAATTATTAAAAATTCGTGAATCTTTTTTTTTTTTTTTGGTTCTGGTGATTTTTTTGTTCATACGTTCGCGTGATTGGCGTGTCTAGGGTTTTGTGAACTTCGTTTCGATCAAATCCTACGATTCTATCGAAGAGCTAGGTTCAGCTTTCGTGAATCCTACCGATTGTTTTCCTTGAACTTGTTGTTGAGTTTCTGGTGACTGGGTGTTCCTTTTTTTAGAACAATGTTATTTGCGATTCTTCTTACGCTTATGCGACTGCAATTTTCGCGGATATCGAGTATACGTATAAATGGGGTCTTGATGATTTCTGAATTGCGCCCCTAAACCCTATCCCTAATTCCGAAATAAATGTAATAGTGAATATCATTAAATTGTTTTGCGGTTTATATTTGGCCCGTGCTGCTGCAAGTTGGTCTTAATCTTTGTTATGATTTCCCAATTTGATCACCTTTCCTTGGTTTTTTCTGTTCCCAATCTGTTTGTTCTGGAACAAAAGTATAGTGAACATCACTTTTATACTGGGTACTACTTAAGAGCTGGAAACTGCAGTTCATATTTTAATTCCTCTTTACATCCAATGTATGTGATTGATTACCTTTTTGTTTGCTATGAAGCTAACTGGTAAGAGGCAGAGATATGGGTTCTGGCGAAGCATTTCCAGTGATGCAGGTAATTAGACTTTCCCCTGGTTGTTGATTGAGGTTGTATGTTTTGGGTGTTCTTATTCAATGTTTGCCGTAGCTTTTAGTTTTCAAATCAATTTTCCACCTTTTACTTTTCTTGTGTTCATTAGGAAATACTGCTTAGTACTTATTTAATGTGATACTCAATTATTGCTTTCATTCCATGGTGGAGTGGCAGTTCTATGGGGTTTAAATTCGGTAATGTTGTTGGGATGGGAACATGTCAAGACTCCTGTAGGGCCTTTGGAAAGCCATCCTCTGATAGTTCAGATAATTTATTTTTAATTGTTTTGGGATAGTATCTGGTATGCAGTCTTAACAGAAAAGGATATGCCTTGTCTTTGGGAAAAAGAACTGGCAAAATGATTTATGACATTTCGGTGGCATGTTGATTATTTCTATCATTATTTCAGTTACCTTATGGTTGTCTTTGGGCAGGAAATTATGTTGGAGTTTCGTGCCGGTAAGATGTCTTTGCAGGGATCAACAGTTGTCCCTGATTCAAGAAAAGGACTTGTCCGCATAGCTAGAGTAATGTCGATATTCTTATTCATATGCTTCTATTTTATTTTTGCATTCATATTGAATTTTATTTTGTTGGAAGTTAGTCGCTCCTTGGAGAATCATTAGCTTTTGCAACTTGCAATGCTGGAGTTGTTATTGTAGAATTCAAGTATCTCAGATCTCTAACTTGTGGTGTCAAAACTCTTAGTTTTCACTTTTCACTTGTTTTAGGCAGTGTTCAGAATGAATCTAATATTTTTTTCGTTTTTCCTTTTGTTGCTTATTTCTAGGGTGAAGAGGGGTTGGTACATTTCCAGTGGCTAGATCGTGACAGAAATGTTGTAGAAGATGTATCCTTTTCTCCTCAAGTTTTATAAAAGAAAAATTGATCATTTTTTTCCGTGCTTCTGATCTACCAAAAATTATGTTTCTCCATGTTCTGAGCTGTATTCTGCCCAGGAACTTAGATAATCTCTATGCAATTGAGACTTCTGTTTTATTTTTTGGCATGTCTGGTTGTGTTGCCCAGTGGTTTGTTATTACATATAGGGACTGTAGTGGTAGGTAGTGGGTAGTCACTAATTATGAAATTTTCTCCTTGACGCTACTGGTTCTAGGATCAAATTGTTTTCCCTGATGAAGCTGTATTCGAGAAGGTATGTTGTGCAACTGAAATTATAGCATGCGAAAATCATTTCCGCTGTTAGCCACAATGTTATGTCATTTTGAGCACAATATTTTTGTCTGCTTACAGGTCAATCAATCATCGGGGAGGGTGTACATTCTAAAGTTTAACAGTGATGACCGCAAGTTCTTCTTCTGGATGCAGGTCAACTGTGAGCTTGTGCTTTTCATGATTTTGTATGCTTTTTTGAAACTTAACTCTCTGAAAATTATTATTGTAACTTCTTTTTGTAGGAGCCTAGAGCTGAAGGTGATGCAGAGTTGTGCTCCACAATCAATCAGTACCTAAACCAACCACTAGGCATGTAACATCCCTACCTCGTTACGCATGGTTTTGGACAAAATTGTATTTTACAGCTAAGGTCTTTCTCTTTGTGTGGTGGTGTTGTCTTTCTTATCGATGTGGCCCACCAATTGAGAGACAAATCCTTGGTTTAGGTTTATATAAATGAAACATCTTTCTCCAAACTACATCTAGGGAAATTGTTTTCCCCTCTTATTCACTGGTTCATATAAACTTATTTCTATCATCATCAAAATGACTAATGCCTGGTTCACTTGTTTTTTTTTTGTGTTTTCATTTCATAGCATGAAAACCAACATTTATTATTCTGTTGGAGGCCTTGCACTTTATGAGATTTCCTACCCAAATTGATCTCGGGTCTCTGATAACAATCTAAGTCTAACACCACAATCAGATGAATTATGCCAAATCTCTATTAAATGTGGACGACCAAATATGCAAGAACATGTTCGACTCGTTTTCAGTGGTCTGTATTTGTATGAGTGATATTTGTTTTTTTAATCGCATCATGCCAATGCTTTGTGCACCGGGTTGCCCTTTATATAAGGCCAATACTTTTTTCGGTTAATATACAATTGAATGAACTGGTAGTATATTGCTCACGAGGTCCTGCATATCGATTATCAATTCAGGTGTTGAGAATGCTATTTTTGTGCATAATCCTTGAGAAAATTAATAAAGCGAGTTTTTATTTCATATCCACTAGCAAATCATAATATGGCACAATTAGGACAGTTGTATAGTTCACCCCTCTGAAAAGTTTTCTTGTATGCCAGAATTTCTTGGTGAAGATGGTCCTGCTTCTGCTATTCCTGAGGAAACTGAAGACATGGCTGAAGATGATGTCTCATCAAGGTACTAATTAATATATCTCGGTCGTTTTTTATCGTTAGTTTGCGGAGATCTTCGACTAAAAAGAGTGCAAATACCTGGCCCTTTTTCATTTATGTTTTTGAACACATTGTTTGCATTTTGGTCAGCTTCTTGAATTATGACAATGACTTCCTATTTATTGTGGTCAGTCTGACGAATTCTTTTGAAGCTGACATGCTACTCGTGACCAGTCTTTGAGCTTTATAGTTCTCTTCTTGACATAGCTGACCAGATGGCCTACTGAAATTGAGATATCAGCTTTTTGTAACTAAGAGATTCTGTTTACATATATATATGCAATGTTATGTAAATACTGTTCTATATTATGTTTCTTTGTGGTGTGAATAGCTTTTATGCTGTGTGAGTGATTTGGAGTTGATAGACTTGAGACTGACTGCTGTTCTCTTGCTAATGGCATTTGACTTTTTGGATGAACAACTGTTCGAGCAGAGGGCTTTCAACTTATTTGAACTTTATTCTTTGTAGAGCTGGAAATTTGGTTGTTCCGAATATGGCTACAGAAGTCAGTGATGTGACATCTTCGTCAGGACCGGTTAAGCTGGCAGACCTGCAAAGAATTCTGAACAACCTCTCTGCTGGGCCTGCAGGTACATGTTCTGTCACTTGATATTACTACTACATCCATCATAAGCTTTTTGTTTTTTTTTTTCTTGTTTAGTAGTCCTGATTCATTTAACTATGGTGTTATCTATTAGGTATGCCTGGAGATGAAGATGAAGGTAACAATTTTTAAACTTTTAGTTTTCAGCTACATGTGGCTGGCAACAGAAAAAATGATATGCTTTTCTAGCTATTTTTATTTGATTCAGAGTTCTGTATGTCAACTATGTTCGGTGTTAATATTATATAAGTTATTTTCCATCAGGGCTGTTGTCTCTCTACCTCATCATTGATCTCATCTTCTCATTTTTCATCTGTTTGAAGGCTTGGTTTTAGGGGATATCTTGAAGCCAGAGTTCATTATGCCATTGCTTGAGATGCTACCAGTAGACGAGCGATTATCATCATTCTTACCTGAGGTATCTAACCGCTAGTCTTTAAGTTTCGCATCTGTATTCTATTGAGAATGAATTGTACCTGCACCTCTTTGCGTAATCTGTCTATATCCCTTTAGGTTATGATTCTTTTCAGATGCATGAGAAATTGTGCTGACTTGCGTTTTTTTAAGGAGGAGAATAGGATGCAATGTTGGATGTGTGAAGTTGTTATGATCAAGTTTTTTTAGGATTGTTGATTTCTCTTCCAAGTCGTCGTGGTAATCAATGACTAATTATCGCTTTATCTGCTTAGGACGAGCTTTAAAATTTCGCACAGCAGTCTGGTGACTAAGGTCTTCAACTTTGTTAATGCATAAACTGTTATCTGTGAACTTTTTTTATCTGGTATTTTTACGATGGAAAGTGTCGACAATCCTTCACTTGTATGTCATATTGTTAATTGGGCTTGCAGGGCCATCGTAAGCCAGAGGATATACTGGAGTTGTTACAGTGCCCTCCTTTCCGTCAGCAAGTAGATTCATTCACATATGTAAGCCGTTTTCTTTTCATTTTCGCCGTTTGGTCGTTCGACCTTTTTTCCCGATTCGATAGTTCGAATTTTTTGTTTATTGGTTAAATCGTTGTAGGTACTTCGAACAGGGCAGATAGACTTGTCACAGTTTGGCGTCGACCCGAGTAAATGTAAGTGTGAAAACCCGAAGTGCCAAGAAATCACATTTTACGGTACTCTCTGATTGATTTGTTTTTTGTTTTGCTTTTAAAACTCTCGTGGCAGATAAGTTCACTGTTGCGTCGTTCCTTGAGGCACTGGAGGACTCGGTTGCAGGCCACCAATCAACTGATGCGATGGAAGAGAATTGATGTTAGTAAGGTTCTCAATGATTTTTTTTTTCCCCTTTATGGTTGGCGGCGGAGAGAGAGTGAAACTTCCACATGCTCTGACCAATTTTGATTTATAAGACACTCTTCTCTTTACCTTTTTTTTTTTTTAAAAAAAACAAATGCGAAAGAAAACTTCGGGAGCTGAATCTGTACTAAAACTATCTTGCCCTTTTCTTGTCTCCTTTACAAATTGGTTCTTTCATTTAGATTCGTTTGATCGTATGCACTCGCATCATATCTTAGTTGGAGGGGAGAAAAAACCCGTCTGGATAGATCCTAGGTTCGAGGGTCCGACTGGTGTTGATCGGTTGGAGAATTGATAGATCCCAATTTCTCAATTTTGAATGAAAAGATCAAAACACCTTTCTTTTTTAAGCATCAAACTGCAGTCACTGTTATAAACCAAAACCCTTGTCGGGAGATTAGATTCAAGCTCCAAAAGAACATAAGCCACAGTATGATATCAAACATATATGATGACACGGGCCTAAGGGGGAACTCCCAAAACGGATATACACCAAATGCCATAAAAGGAAAGATCACAAAGCTGCATTATTGCCTTGCAAGAGAAACTCCTTCCCAAAACTCGGAACCCAACCCCATGGTCCATACTAGTAACAACGCCTGATCCATCCGTTTTTCATTAGGATTGGACTTCGAATTCGAATTTTTATTGATAAAATTCTCATTTTAATTTTTTTTCATTCGTTTTTTCGATTATTTTCATATTCAATTTGAGTTCAATTTCTATTTTTTTTTAAATAAATCACATAGATTCGATCTTATATTATCATATTATATTAATTGAGTTTAATATGTTTATCCATTTAAGTCATGATATTAATGGATTAAATCTATTAAATCCATCTAATTAAAATGGGTTAATCCGTTTGTCATCTCTATATGCTAACCTGTGTTACTGCTAGCATTAAGCCATTACACTGATGACCAAATAAATAGCACAATTGCCAATCAAGGTGGATGAGATATAATCAAACCGAACGGATTCTAAAATAAATATTACTCATTTCTATAAAAAAACAGTAGAGAGTGTTGTTCTTCAAATAACGTTAAAATCTAAAATAATTTACTAAGCCTCTCTTATATATATATATGTATATACACATGTATATATGTGTTCTGTTATGATACTTTATTATTATTAGGGGTATCCGAAGTTGTACACGCATAGTAGTAGTTAGTTATACATATGAACAATGCCCTTCAACAAACGGTCAAATTTTGCTTTCCAACTATTAATGACGAGAAGGAAGATGAATATCTTCTTCTGTTTTATACGGTTAACGAGATTGTTGAATTTCAAAAATTGGTAAATAAATAATGAACAAAATACACTAATAAAATTGGCGAACAAGTCTAATTCTATTGATTAGGAATATATTCACGGGACTCTAAAATATATATGTATTTGTACTATTGGTTCACTTGTATAGATGTTTCTACTGTTTAAATTTCAATATTTTCAGATTTGTAAAAAAGCGAAAAGTTATTTTGACAATGCAAATGACAATTTTTTTTAAAGAACTAATATGTTACCTATGAATAATATACGAATCTCACTATATATATATATATATATATATATATATATATTGGGTTTTGTAAATTCAGATAATCGATTTTTTTTTGTTACCCAGGATGGTTTTCCGTGTCTTCAGTCCGACTACATCCACGCGAGGTCTTGGAACAGCCGTTGGATATGGATCGCAAAGAACCAGAAATTCCCCTCCCCTCCCCATATGCGGAGAATCGAACGCTTGACGTGAAGGCCCGGGGGACAACACGCTAGCCACTCGACCACAAACATGTGGGTCAGATAATCGAATTTGTCTTGTGATAATAGACCTTTTTAATAATCTTACATTTAAAAGCGAGAGTTTCAATTATGTCCATTAACATATTGAATAGTCCTTTTAGGAATACTAATATTTTTGTTTATTAAAGATCATAAGAAAAAAGTATATTATTGAATATAAAATAAAAGTTGTAATTTGGTGAATAAATTTTTTATGATTATTGGGAAGATGACAATTTGGCAAAATTACAATATGAAAAGTTTTTTTTGCTTACTGATATCAGTAAAAATACGCATCTAAAAAAAGTAGAAGAAGAAAAAAAATTAAGAGAGTGTACAAAACCAAATAAATTGGTAAAAATAATTAAAAAAATCTATAAGAAAAACCAAAACCTAGGGTTACATATATATATATATATATATATATATATTTGTCGA